GCAGCATTCCGAAGAAGTTCGAGAATAGTGACGTTGTCAGTGACATCCTCGGGACGTTCACCAGCCTTGTTCTCCTTGGAAGTAGCTCCTGCAGATAGTAGCAGTTCAACTGAACCAAGGTCCCCAACATAGCAGTTTCCCTGTCGTTACCGTCTTCCGGTAGCCGTGCTTGCACGCAAAGTGAAGAGGAGTATCCCCAGAACTCAGAAGAGGCTGAGTGCATTCAGCACCCAGACTGTGGAGCCGACCGACGAGACGAGCGACCATGGCTGAAATGGAAGTCACTATCCATCTTATACAGCAGGAGGATGAAGAATTACTATCAGTCCGGATGACGCCGTTCAGTGGCATTACCGCAAGTAGTACTGGAGTAGCGCCCCCATTCATACGAGTGTACTGGTTCATCGCTGACTTTACATGCGAGGGAACACTTCCTGACTTTGCGCCAACATAGGCGTTGACAAACTCTGTGAACTGAGAGCTGATTTCACTGACCCTCACTGATGGACAGTCATATACTCACTCTTCGCTCCGTAATTATATCAGTGGCATCTCGCACGAGCATGTGAAAAACATTGTCACCCGTGTAAGGATTCACTACATCAGCACGGCACGTGAATGGCCATGACGCTAAAACCGAAATGATAGGCTCTGGCCTGTGTAACTAGAGGATAAGGGATGTAGGGCGAGGCCTCTATGAAGATTTAACCCACCACCGCAGCCGTCATCAATATCGTGTATCCGCCCATGAGGGAGGTACTACAGTCAATGTCACAAAGCGCTAAGATGTCGGTCAACTAAAAAGACATCATTATGTCTCAGAGAGGCCTCATGTGGAAAGACGCTTACTTGTTTCGGGTCATTGCAGCGTTCAACTGCTATGAAAGCCGACTCAACTACTTCCCTTGTCTCTGCTCGGGAATCCATCGTGGGAGTTGTTGTCGCCATATTCTTGACATCGACTGAATCTCTCTCAGCTATCAAGTAGTGATAGAAATAGCTGAGCTAAGGATGAACAGTCGGAGCAAGTGAGAGGAAACCTACTCTTCATCGAGACCGCCGGCTCTAAAATCCTCCAGTCTTGCCTCGAATCGATCCTGGTCCAACCGTAATACTCTACCGGTGTCATTAACAATATCGTAGATCTGAGTAACGCCGGGTTCACTTGGGTAGATTAATGCGAGCCAAGTTGGATGGACCACCCTCAACCTACAACTGATTTTATCCGCACAGGAAGATCGTCGTATAGGCCGTTCGGCCAAATCTTCCTCCGCTTGATCGCTAGGTTTTGGTGGGATTCACTAGAACCTACGATGCAACTCCTCTCCCCAGAATTTGACCTATACCCATGCTGGTATTACCACTGCTGGGCTCCCGAGATGATGATGCTAAATCGACGGGTGAAGGGTCAGGAAATGGCGGTGCTGGAGGCGGCTTCGCTGACTTCACCGTAGTCTTCCACACAATCTAAGTAACCACCAAACAACCCTTTAAACGGTCGTTGGTACTGTCGCCGTTACCTCTCTCTGTCCGTGAGTCCGTACTGTATCGGAGTCACACAAGTCGTGGATTTCCGAGGCCAACTGAGCGACTAGACCATCCCCAGAAATACAGGCTCCGCCGGTCGATGGACCTGAAAGGCAATAGAGACTCGGCTGAGTTGTTCATCCCTGTCGAACGTCAATGCGGATGGAGCCGGGATCGGGATGGACAAATCGCGTGGAATAGCAACAGCGTCACAGGGAGCCTGCAACATACCTGTTCCCAGAGATACAGCAGTCACTAGAGCGTCGGGGCCAGGGTGTTCCCATTGAACTGCCCCGGTTTCCACATTATAATAATACCTGATGATGATGGTGATGATCGATATCATAGATGATCATCGTCTATGATGCTCTCGACTGTCTATGTATCTTAGACTCATAGAAGCGGCGTTTTCACTCTAGATCATTCCACTGTCACGACGACCTCCTGTAACTTACGGCAGCCCAGCATTCAATCCGGAATCGACGGAATAAGTATATTGATACCACCGGTTGGACATGGGGAAGAGACAGGGCTAACGTGATGCCTGCAACGATTCGCAGTTTGATCATCACTTGGGGGCCCGCGTCCCAGAGAAATTCTCCCCACTCATTTCCAGCTGAAGGTTACATGCGCGGAACCGCTCACTCAACATGGATCCTTATTGACCTCAACAGTCAGTCATTGTAACGTTCTTGCGTCTGAAGCTTCTTGTATGCCACGTCACCAAGACAAAATAAACGACAACACTGCTCCTACAGCAAGGCTGGGACTCCATCGATTTATTCTGAACGGGTCTAAGCGGAATGTCCATGCCATGTCAGCCGCATTATAACATTCAAGTTGAAAGCTTCAACTTGTAGGTTCGTTATTACCCATTTTGATGCTGCGAGCATCGAAGCATTAAATAGCATACACAGCGTATTACACTGACAAGAATCCATGCAGAGAGTCCAATAACATCTCGCCAAATGCTCCCCGGGAACGAATGCCTCCATCGAAGAGAAAACTAACCCAACACCCCAAGCGAACCAGAGAATCGTAGTGGAAGCATTATTTAATCTGAGATCCGTACCCAAGAGGTCGCCTAGCAGAGGTGCCACTCACTTTGACATGAAATTTAGGCCCTCAATTCCGTGGGGAACGAGCACAGTCACTCGAAAAACTTCGGAAAGAACGATGCGTACTAACATGATACTTCAACATTACACTCGCAGCAACATCCAAGATCATCGTTACTATTAGCGCATACCTGCACAGAAAGCATTGTACTTCCGTTTAGCGGAACCAGTTCCAGCTGAACGCGAGATCACAAGAGTTCTTTCTGGGTAGCCACGGAATTCACAGAGAGTGCTGTTCGTGTTCTAGCATGCAATATTACCTCGAATATATCATCAATGCCTCCTTGTATATGCGTAAGGATCCCTGGGCTCTGATTTCTGCGGTAAACGTACAGGTGAGGGAATGAAAGGATTGCCCCCTGATGGATCTCGGGACCTCCCAGGTGGTGAGGGTTGGGGTGGTTGAATAGATCGTGGTGATGGTGTCAATCGCTGACCGACACGATCCCACATGACTGTTGTACTCTCTCCTAGTTGATCATCATCCCACGAGATCGGGTCTTCGGCTTTACTGCGATGTAGCTGAAGAACCCATCAGGGATACGACATGAAAGATGCTGCCAATGAAGAGACGCAGCGGGTAGCTTTTGAGATTTGGTCTATAGCATTCATGTACAGCCACTTACTCCAGGATCATCTCGTATCAAAAAATCTTCACGGGAGCGGTGAGGGCTGCGACTGCGAGAGCGAGAAAGCCGACCAATTGTGTAATCATTGTGAGTTGAAATTACTCGTCGAGATCGGACATGACTGAAAGCAAAAGGCGAGAGGCTATCTTCGACCGTCGAAGTTCGACGTGAATATACGAGCTTCTGTGTATCTCCTCCAAGACAGAAAATGAGAGCTTCATCGCAAGGGGTGTGCCCTAACACATGCTTGGGAGTTAGCGTCTACCTTCTCTCGCTTCGTTCATCAAACTCCTGTTTGGTATCGATTGGAGGTAGGGGTAACACAGAGTGAGGAGGACGGAACATCGCTATGACATAGGGATCCGCCATCGCGGCTTGCGCGGCCTAACGAAACAAGAGACCTGAGCAGCTGGACAGTCCAGCAGCTTTGCTGTTATTCCAGGAGTCGCGATGCGATAAATTTCCTATTTCGTAATCACATTACGTGGCGGTACATTGTACCGCGACAATGCGTGTATCATACAAAGCGCGCGCCGCGCGCCGCTTTGCCGAGTCAAATCATCATAGCTATAGATCCGAGCAGAGGCAGTGCGGAATCGACACTTTCTTTGCTCAGACTCTACGCAAGCACTCAATCTAGGAAGTATAACCGAGTCAGGCTCACCCGGGATAAGTCTCCCAAGCAGTCCTCAGAATCACAGTTCTCCTGCACAGCCGAGCTGAATTTCTCGCCCAAAACATGATATGCCCGCACGGCATCAGACACTCTGGGATCGTTGGTGTCTGTTCCAGCTAAATACACGACGCCACATTTCCATCGTCCGCCATCCTCTGTCCTGATCTGCTTTTGCGGCGGAGCCATAGCCAGCGCCACTGGTACATCCGGGATAGCCCTACAAACAACAGCAGAGAAATCTAACATAAACAGTTTCGCATTTTCCAAGGAAAGGGCATGTCTCCCAATGCCAGAAGCGGCCACCACTTTCTGTGGATTCCGAGTCGTCTTAAAACTTAAATATTGGTGAACGAAGCTTATTTTCCAAGAATACTAACTCACTGAAATATGACGTAATCGCTGCCAGCATCTTCCCGAAAAGTGGTATGACGACGGATGCCGCCAACTCTACGAGAACCGAAGTGGAGGAGAGCAAGCCTCTGGATCAGGCGCGCATAGACTTGAAATCTGGACGGGTCCTTGACCGGGAACCAGAATATTGCCTGGTTATGATTCTCAAGAACACCTACGATGCAAAATCAGTCACGTGGATTAGAGAGTATCGCTGACTCTTCACGTATATAGAGTTGCTAACACGCGGGGAAGCACAAGTCGGGATATCGAGTTGATTGACGGGAAACGGTCAAGGCTCAATGAAGTAAGAGTCTCTCACGTGTAGTCGCGGTCCTCCATATCCCTCGATCATCCCATACGAGTTGCGCGGTAGCCATACAGACCACGGGAAAGTCTGTTCCACAAAGGGTTACAACTCTTAACTGAATCGAGCCAACGGATACGAGTACTTCTATATCGATCACCAACAAACCAAACCCGAAGGATCTCGAAATCTCTCGACTAGTTGAGAGCTAAGTGAACCCGCCATGGGACAACCCTGCACTGTGCCAGTGCATTCACCTCAACAACAAAAAGAGGTCAAGCTCCGGAGCCTGAGAGGTGTGAACGCTCTAAGAGACGAAGCACAGCGGAGGCTCACCTCCAATGTCGGAGCGTACGATTGCGTGAGCGGCGCCACTGCCCGGGGCAGCGACTTCTCAGTCGGTAACAGTGGGCAACAGCTTCGCATATCGTTCACACCTCTGAGGCTGCGGAGCTCGTTTGCTCGCGTCGTTCTCCCCAATCGCCTGATTGCACGTGGAACAAAAATGCATCCGTGACCCGATGTGATTTAACCACATTCAGTTAACCTGCGGAATATATGCCGGGTCCACATCACTGTGCAAATTACACAGTGCAACATGTGAAACTTAGCTTCGCAACTGTGAACATGGCTCCAGAAGCTATGTTCACATCATGCGTTTCCTGCCCACGTAGAATCTTTGGCGCATTTGGAGTCCATCAGTTGCCTGAGTGCCAGTCTACACCAGAAAATAAGACAGCTAGCAGTCCCGCTGAGGACCGTAACGGAAAGAGTATGGGCAAGAGCTTGACCAGAAGGTATGGCGGGATGAGCAGACGCAGCGGACGCGTGGACAACGGTCGTAGGGGCTTGATTGTTCATGATGGGTAAAAGAGCGCGGCACAACTAGCACTGAGCACAAGCCTCGGCATGAAAGTACTAGCATAGTTGCCTCGAGCCTCAAGCCATGTGCGCGCGGTCAGGAGATATGACGGGGTGAGCGGGAGGCTCCCGCCGGGAGCAGCGGCCGCATGGATGGGTGTCGCAGCGGCTTGGTTCTGCACGATGCCTACGGACGAGTGACACGGTTAGCAAAACACGAGCCCTCATCATGTGAGATAACCTCTTAGAAGGAAGATAACCTTCTATCTGAAGGTGTACTCGACGAAATTGAAAGTTCTATGACGAATTCGAAGGTTCGAAAGTCTAAATTGAAAGTTCTATTAACACGAATTTGAACTTCCTATCGACTTCGGACGAACTTGAATGTTCTATGACGAAGTTGAAAATTCTACTTGTGAATATGATCTTCCCGTGTCGGATTCGTACCTCCAACTTCGCGCGTCCCGACGAAATCGATGGTTCCAAAAACGAACTAGATGTTTTAAAGGTGTAGACTGTGTCTAAGTGCTACGATGAAGAGTACTGCAAGATTCTGAGTTGTTCAAGTTGCGGAATGATTCGCGCCCGCCCAAATATTTCTTTTTGTGCGCGGGTTGACTGTCCCGGATGGCATCATGGCGACATCATGGCGGTGTCATGTCGCCGACGTCCATAGATCG